GTTTTTCTGGTAAGTGTTGTTCTTGCGGAAGGTTGAAGTTTGATGGTGATTCAGGATTTTTTGAGTGAGTTTGTTAGATGCTGGTTTGTTAATGTAGCTCTGATACCATGTTATTGTTTTACTAATGCTGATGTGCAAGAAAAGAGAACGGAAGGAAAACTGATCTGATTTCATTAGGCACAAAACCTGCTATAACATACTTTGGCTTACTGTTTCAACTACTGTCAGTAAGCTTTTCTTAATCTCAGCTAAACCACTCAAGTCTAACAACTTCATTACAAATTGGTGAAGTAAGCTGAGTCATCAAATTCAAAATTAACATACAAGATGACAAAATAAACCTAAACTACTGAACTTAAACAACACCATGCACATCTATCTTGCAGCAGCAAGATAACTTCAAACTTTTAGCAACAGCAAACATACTTCCAGCACAGCATCAACCTCATAACATTTGCCATCATCATTTTCATGATCAAGTGTTGGCAGATATGCTGTACAATTATCAGAGAGTACGTGGGTCCACAAAGTTCATTGCCCATAAACAAGATGCATCAAAGCTTTGTATATAGTTGAGTGCTTGAAGGAATTGTCCCAGTTAACTTGTTATGGGATAAGTTCAAGTGATTCAAGAACGTCATACTTGCCATACTCCCTGGGATTTCACCAGAAAGTTTGTTCATAGAGAAATCGAGGGACTCTAATAATTTTATGTTGCCAAAGCTCAGGAATTTTCCCAGTGAATAAGCTGTAAGAAAAATTCAAGATCCCTATGTTTTCAGATTCGTCACTTCCATAGGAATCTCTCCCTGAGAATTTATTGTTGGAAAGGTGTACAAGTCTTACAAGATTGAGAATAGTACTATATCCGCCAGTTTCCCTTTCGTCACAAGCTCTTCTTTTGCAAGAAACTGTTCTAGGACTTCATTTAAGTTATTCGGAAATGAAATAGTCTGTCTCTTAATAGAGTATGGATTACTATACGCTTGCCCTTAGATTCAATCATGTTCACCATGGCAGTGAAGTTATTAATACACCTTGTATAGTTCCAGAGAAATTGTTAGAAGCAAGGTCTAAAATTTGAAAAGAAGCTAAGTGACATACCTTAATTGGAAGATGGCCTTGAAATTTATTTGAACAAAGGTGTTGAAACATGATAATTTGCTAGAAATTGGTTGGAAATTTATTTGTTTTTGAATCGTTTTTGGCGCCAAAAACTGTTGTTATCTCCTTTCTGTCTGCCATGAATGGAGCTGCTGTAGTGGTTGAATTTTGGTGACATTTTTAGGTGCAATCAACTAGGATTAAGGATGTATTGTTGTAAATCTTACTTTTAAATTTCAAATCTGAATTGTCCGTTTTAGTTGGTGTAACACTAAGCTTTTGGTCATATAAATTGTAATATGCATTGTAATGAAAATAGACTTTTCTCTCAACTAAAAATTATCTCATCTTTTTCTTAGTATTCACCAGCACTAAACACCAAAAATTGGTATTAGAGCCACACTAAAAACCTGAAATCTCTCCTGCACTCAATCATCCATGTCAGCTTAAGAACACCTCCCATCTCAGCTTAAGAGCATCATGTTCTAGCCTTCTTATTTTTCCTGCTTCATTATACGCAAACTTTGTAACCTCAGATGCACGTCTCGAAGGTTAGCTATGTGACTCATCTCACTATGTCTTTTAGCATCAAATTAATGCAATGTACTGCATAGGGAGACCATATTACGCTATTTTTTTTAGATAATATTCTTCCAGTAGCTTCATAATTTGCTCTATTGTCAATGACAAGATGGACAATCTTGTTTGGTCCAACCAATAAAGCTATTTCCTCAAACAAGTTGAACAATGTTACAACATCCTTTACAACATTTAAAGCATCCACTAATTTCACAAAACACACTCCTTTAGGACAGTAAACTAGAAAATTAATCAACGACCTATGTAAATTATCTGTCCAACCATTAGCCATTAAAGTACGTCCAACATCCTCCTAAGTTTTCTTGTAACCATCAACAAGTAATTGCACATTTTTCTTAGCATCTCTCAATAAATTTACATGCAAATTATGATAAGTTGGGATTTTATACCTAGGACTGATTGCAGTTATAGCATCCATCATAGGTTGAAAATAAAGTGAATTGATAACATTAATTGGAATGCAAGAATCATAAAATAACCTTGCAAAAACCATGTCCACTCTCCACTTAGATATTAATTGGACAGCCACAATTCATGAAATGGTTGGTTGAAAGTCCAAACTATCAGCTTCGGTTTGGTCTTTAACAACTGACAGCACATAATTCACTTTACCCAATAAAAATTTCTCTAATTTGTATAATGACACTAAAAACAAAATGAAGTAATGCATTTGTAAAGAAAATTTTGACCATCAATTTCTATGAACAAAAGAATTTTGATGTCTCTATATAGAATTGAAGTTCAAAATTTTTAATGAATGTTGGTTATGACAAAAGCCTCGGATATTGCTTGTGGCAAGACAACTACTCGATTGGTCTATATGGTAAATATTGTGGTCAATAGAAAGACTCTCTACTACCTTCACTGCCCAAATCAGATGACTGCGACCAAGACCAAAAAAAGCAGCCAACCGTCCACAAATAATGTAAGAACAACTTCCAGAATGCAAAAGTTAATGATAGTTTAGACTTTAGATTAATTTGACTATTTAAGTATTTAACAATAGATCATGACAAAACAAAATAGTAGTCGGAGACAGCAAAATCTTGAAAAAAAAGATAAGAGAACAAATGGGAGGGAGAGGCGACAATTACTTGGTGAAGATGAGCTGCCGTTGACTATCGGAGAGGTGGAGCTCGACTCTTAAGTGTTAACTGTTAAGAGATGAGATCAAGCAAATGTGAGGAAGATGCGACAGTTCTTGGGCAAGATGAAGAGGAGATCGATGGTGTAGCTTTGAGAACGACGATGAACAGAGCAGATTGGCAGTAAAGAGAGAAGAGTGAAGAGTGAAGAGAGGACAGAGGAGATCACAAAATGGGAGGAGAGTCTTGGTACCCCAGCTGACGACGAACAGAGCACTTCACGATGAAGATTGAAGAGGCGAAATCAACAGTGACGGGAGCCTCTGGTGGAATATTTTCAGAGTTTAGACCAAAAGTGAGTGAAGTGGAATAAAAATTGGGAAGAAATCGTTGATATTTGGGGGGTTTAAGAGATACAGGCTTTATTTTAATTTTTATGTGGGACTTTATTTTTTTTTAACTAACGGTTGGACCAGCGGGTGATATAGTGCATCGGTCCAACTGCAGGTGTAACTAGTCAACCTTACATTACCTGTTATTAGCCTCATTCGGCCGGGTCCTGGTTAAATTGGTTCAATCGGCCAAGCCGGATCAGGTTTTAAAACATTGATTCTAACNATTCTTCATTAATTAGTCACTGTATTTTGAAAAATCTCAGATAGATTAATAATAAGCATCTCTATTTTTTATTTCAGTTGTTGCATCCGTACTTTTTTTTTTTAATTATGGTTACTTAAAAAATGGACACTTTATTTAAACCGTCCTGATAAATCGTCATTTCAAGCAATATTAATTTTCACTTCTTTTGTTTCAGATAGGCCGGGATTAGTTTCCTTATATATCTTTCAATTCAGTGATATTGAAAACAAAATCATCTTTCAATTCTTTCTCAAAGAAGGTAATGACATGCCATTACTTAATACATCTCTATTGCAATTAATTGAAAGCCAGCAATTAATTATTTTAAGCGAAACAGAAGCTTTCATATTTGGGACCATTTGATTATTTGATTGTGACGGGTGTTATTACACTAATATCCACTGGTGAACATAGATTGTGACTGCTACCTACTTTGTATGTGGTTATGCCTCGCGTGGGCGAACCATTTCAACGTCCTGCATCACTAATTTAATGGCGCATTGACTAAAGATCATATATATTCTTGTTGTTATGTATCATAGGTTAGAACTCAAGCCCAAGGGATAACCCAACCCAAAAGGTCAGCCTGATAAGAGGGAGAGTTCTTAAGCTTAAGTACCACACATGGTGGGTATGAGATTCCGATATAGGATTTTAACATTGCATCCCCCCTTCAAGAACCGACGTCTACGACGGCTTTCACTCTATCGACATTGACCCGATGGTAGCTCTTTTTCCCTTTTGGGCAACTTCACTCACCTATCAATTATCCGATGTACATTGCACTTTAATCTAGCTTATAGGTAGTTATTCCTGCAGTTTAACTTTCAACGAAAGCACCAATATTAAAACTCAAACCCAAAAAAGAGTCTAACCCAAAAGATCGGCCTGATAGGTGAGAGAGCCCCTAGGCTTAAGTACCATACTTGGTGGGTGTGAGACCCTAATGTGGGATCCTAACATAATATTCCACATTTCCAGAAAGCCCGAGTTTCTCTTTTTAATTTGGGATAAAAAACCCTGATGCTTTTTTATTTTGATCGTCCATTAATTAAGCTAGAGTTTGTTCTAAAATTAACTCAAACCTCACAAACCGTTGGATGTATAAAACGTGACCAAAAGAAAATCAAATATATTTCTAATTACTTGCAAAATTACTGAATCCAAATTGGATTATCAGATGTCTTTTTGTTAATATTATTAAAGTCCAACTTTGATATATATTAATTACAATACTATAAACAGGAATTAAATTCCATAATTAATCAGCTCCATATATATATATAAGAAAGAAAGGGCTTTACCAATTTACAATAATTAGATACCGGCATCTCTGTATCTCATGATATAACAGCAATACTTTTATAAACTTTGCACTATAACATTATGTATTCAAATTGATTAACAGAAGAATGGATAAATTACATAGACCATCCCGTTTGAATTTTTATTCTAAATAGAATAAAAATAACTCGAGTTTATTTGACTAATTAAAAAAAAAAATGATATAACTAGTCGAACAATAATATTGTTCACTTTAAATTTGTCACCCTTCCATGTGGTGATTTTAGGTCACGAGTTCGCTTCTCCTTGGAGAGAATTTCTGCAAATCTGCATATAAACAAATATATATACAATAATTAGTAATGATTTTAGGTTTACCTGTATCATGACCAAAAATTAGGTATATATGCTAATACTGATTATTATAGAAAACATAGTACAAAAGTTATGTACCTTATGAGGGCCTCTTCATTGGTACCCTTATGACAAGGCTCACAGACTCCAGTCTCAAAATTAACCTTTGTAACTGGTTTCTTCAGTAGTCTTTCACCAAGTCCCACAAGACTCTCCAAGTTCTTTTTGGTGGCTATATCCACGGAAGACTCGTTTCCGGTTAGGGTATCATCCTGAAATTTTTCAGCAAATTGATTAGAGAGATAACATACTATATAATATTATGTTAATTAACACCATGAACATGGATATGTACCTGAATTCGAAGATAACTTTCTTCGGAATGAAGGGCTTTAAAAAGGTTAGATATGTGAAAGTCTATCATGTCGCCGCTAGATTGCATAAACACATCGGTCAATGGAGTCGAACTTTCACTGGTCAACCATCCCAACAGACCCCACTTTGCCGCTTTATGAGCATCGTACTTCTCTTCCGTCTTTGGTGAACCAGTCCCTAATGATATCACCAAAAACCGACCGTAGTCCATTGGCTTTATAGGAAAGAAATCAGAACTCCCTCGAGTGATTTCTTTGGTTACCTCGCTTATAGCGACTAAAGTCTGAAAAAAAAAATTAACAAATTAATGAATAAGATTTCTTGCAGCTTTAAGTCAATAATGAAAATTTTTAAGTCTTAATTTTCGGGGTTTCGTACAGGATTATTAGCCGCCACTCCACCATCGATGAGATCGAATCGTCTCGCATTTCCTTTTGGGTCATGAGTTTCAAATTGATGGGCTGGAAGATAAGTTGGGGCAGCTGAAGTGCCAATGCAAATATCAGAAAGTAAGGCATCTATGCTTGGGCTTTTCTTCACCTAAAACACAGAAACACATGTAGAGCATCAGAATTGACGTCGAAGATTGGTATTTTTCTTTTCTTTTCTTCACTAATGACTGTGACACAGTTAGAATATGGTTATTCTAATTGAAATTGTATTCTAGACTCCAGCCGAGAGAAAATAGCTGGATTAGAAATGGACCTCATAGCTGGAAAAGATGGTTGGTTGGAGTTTCTTGATGTCAAAAGTTGGTATCACAACATTTGTCAACGTCTGGTGCAATCTATTATCTCCTAATTTCTCCTTCGCAAGGCGATGCAGATATTTGCCATCATATTTTGGTCCAGTAAGCGATTTGAGCAGCTTTGTAGCGTTAGCGAAGGGACAACTGTTGTGTAACAAAAAGTAGTATATACCTCTTTAGTAAGTATGATGAGAAAATAAGTCCTTGATGTACAAACTATCGATGACTTAGCATCATTTCCTTTCTTTATTCATATTTAAGTTCACGATGATACCTTTGTTGGGGGAAGATTTTGGGGCAATGGTTTAGATAGAAGTCCTTGATATCTTTGGCAGCAAACAAAGGACGGTTTTGTTCATTTGGAGCTGTTAGCATGGCGGTTACGAGGCCACCTGTGCTAGTTCCAGCAATCACATCAAAGTAGTCCGCAAGTCTTGCTTCCTCACCATCCAGTTTCTGTTTATAACAAAACATTTTCTAGTTAATATTAAAAAATAAATAAATAAAATTATAAAAGTTTCACCTGTAGAGCAGCTTTACCTGAAGCTCGGACTCTAAGAAGGCAAGGATAGTTGCCGGGATAACCCCTCTAATTCCACCTCCATCAATGCTGAGAACAGTTATCAGGTTTCCATAAGTTGGAGGCTGTAGGGGTGATTTTGGAGTTTCCATGTGAAATTAATAAGGCAATTAATGCAGAAAGGAATAGGCGAAGGGATCGATTAAAGAGAGGGTACTTAATTAATTAATGAAAGTTTTGAAGATTTTAGCATGCGCACTGCTGATGAGGACGAATGCATGCGATGCATGGTATTTATAGACTTATTTTTCTGTGAAGTTCTGAATTTTGAAAATGATTACTCTGGTCTAACTTTGACCAAGTAAACAGTTTCTTGGTCTGCTTTTAAGATTATTTATCCCAAATTTATTCTCTTGTTGTTTCTGTACATTCTGAGACTTGTCATGGGTGGACTGCTGGTCAACAACTTTTCGTGTCCAAGAAAACAATTGACTATTCACAGTTCCAATCTTTGAGGCCGTAGGAATCTTCAGTATCATGAACACAACTTTAAGAGATTTCACACATTCAATTTGGAGAAACTCTAAATAGCTTTTTGAATTGGTCAATAATTTTCTTGGCCTTTGAGAGGATAGTGTTTCACTTAAATGAATTTTCTTTTTCTTTTCTAGTGTGAGAGCAGCTTGATGATAGCAAGAATCTGGAATGACGAAAGCTTCAAAATTTTGAAGCAAGAACAGTAGTTAAGATTTATGGATTAGGAACAGATAAAACTTGCAAATATTAATTATTTGTTGCACTCACATGGTATTCATGTGGCCATGTGTTCTAAACATGAAAAGTTAAGGCGGCCCTATTACTCGGTAAAACTCGTAAAGAAAGGTCAAAATAATAATTAAACAAAATATTTTATCATAAAATAAACATTAGACCTCTCTTTTATTAACGCGTTTATTTGAATTTTGAAAGCAGCAAACTTTTCCAAACTTGGCATCGTCTTCGTCGTCCATGCATCATATTATCAGTTTCTAAAACGTGGCTTAGCGAATTAAGCCTAAGTGACATTATCCTTAATTTGCTGCTTAATACAGTCAAAAGATGTAACATCAATTGTTACAGATTAATCAAATGTTTCTTTAATTAACACATTTTAAACAGCTGTTACTAATTCATAACTTGTAACATTACAAACTTCTTTTGTTCATATCACCAGCAACTCATGTACCGTATACGTAAATAGATATCTTTTTTTATTTATCGCTTGAGTTAACGACTTTTTTTTCACCCAAATAATGGTTTAATGATATTTTTTTTACCTATGAACTTTTAAAATACTATTTTATTATCCAAATTTATAGTCCGATGGCGAACAAAGAGCAAACTTGGTTTAAGTTGTTAAAGCTTTTGAAGAGGGGAGACTGATGAGTCTTTTGGTGGTGGAATGTTGGATTTTGATGGTTGAAATTTATCAGAATTTGACTTGGAGGAGTGGTTGTGCAAACTTTAATCGCTCAATTGCTGGGGATTGGCAAAGTTAACAGGAATATGATTTGAGAGGTTTTTGTGAGTAATGATCAGAGAAGAGAATGATGGTGGTTTGGAGTCGCAATAATGTCGTAATCGAATGGTTAACGAAGTAAGATGTGAATACTGAATACTAAAGTGAAAACGAAAGAAGTAAAATTATATATTGAAGAAGGCAAAGAGTCGAGATAATATTAGTTGGAAGATGGGTAGTGACGACTAACAAAGTCAATGGTAGTATCGTATGTGTAATACTAATAGCATTAGCCGGGTATGGTTTCAAGGAGCCGATTCTCAGGTATATATAATATTTGACAAAGTCAATCAATTCATTAAATATATATACAGTAAAAAGAAAACACTCTACCCTATGCCTAAGAACAAGGGCTTAGATTGGACTTATATGGGAACAGTGGTCAGCAGCACCTTAAGTGGCGGCTGTGTTTTAGTCTTCTTTCTAATCTCACTTTGGTCCCCACACAATTTCTTTCTGGCTTTCTTTTGTCCATCCATCGATTTGGCTTTATACAACAGCCATCTGTTCACTGGGGAAAGAAATATGAAACCTAATGTTTGACTGCTTCCTCATAATTTTGATAAAGTCGGTTACTTTTTCCGTTCAGACTTTTAAAACAACACGAAATTTAAATCTCTCTGGATCACTTCTAAGAGATTGTGATGTAAGTGAATTATGGTGTCATCACTTCAATTCAAGGTGAGAGATTTAAACTCTCATTATGGTAAGATCAACCTCCCCTAGACTTTGCAGAACTTGTACCGAAAGTTCCTGATCTCCTCTGAATAATATCCCAATTCTTCAAATTAAGCATCCGTAATTCTATTTGCTTCCTGAAACATGACTATCAGACTAAGTGATTCTCGAGATGCTTGAATGAAGCAGCATTTTATAAAAGCCAATTGAGGGCAATATTTGAAGTAATAAAAACAAAAAATTGCCATCACCCCTAACTCTAAGCCTAGTTACATGCATCACATTCTTACCTACGGTTCTCTGGGAATCTCACCAACAATATATTCTCGCGTTTAGCAGTTGAATGTTAAGAACAAAGAAACAAACGGATGCATTGCATGCATGGAAAAACAATTAATTAATTACCAGATCTTGGCCGTAGCCAGTTGTCAACGACGGCCAACACATGGTCGTCGTTGACCATCAACGACGGCCGTATCTTTGGCCGTCGTTGACGAGCAAATACAGCCAAATCCACCGTGGATCTGGCCGAAAAAGGCCAGATCGGGGCACGACCGGCAAGATCCAGCCGGTCATGCGCCGATACAGCGACTCCGACCACCCTCCGGCTGTGGTGGCCAGCTGTCCATATTTAATAGGTGGGTTGGGGGTGTTTTTGTTAATTTTTAATGTTTTATTATAGGGGTGTTTAGTAAATAAACAAATATAGGGGGTATTTTTATTAATTTTCAAATCCTACATCGTAATACCTGTCCAATTCAACTTTTTTTAACTTTTTAAAAAAAAAAATTCTAAAAAGTGTAAAAAAGTGAACCAAATGTAGCCTTAATTTTCTATGATGCAGTGAACATATCGATCAATGATACTTGTGCTTGCTTCTTCTGTGGATGAAATTGTAAGGAAAGTTGGTGGATCACAGAACTCGATATTATAAACTTCTGTGCCCAGACAATATTGACCAATTCTCTTCTTTATCATTTTATTTCATTAAATTTGTCTCATATTAGCAGACGTGAAATCCACAGTCCCTACCAAGTTCAGTGTTTTTCGATGAAATTTTGAGAAAGATGTCATGTCTCTTTCCAAAGAAAGGCGATGTTATGCTATTATATAAGATGGCTGTATTACGAATTCAGACTTTTGAAACATGCATTCCTTACGGTACACTTCAGAGCACCTTGGATTTTAGGATCATGACAATCAGAAAAGCAATCAAGCATTAGGAGTTGGACCATTTGGTCATCTGATTTCGACATGTATATGAAATACCTACCGGTCAACGTTTAGAATGTGATTGAGGCCAATAAATTCTAAATAAAACCTAGCTTGAAAGTTCGTTCTATATGTGTGGGGAATCCCATAACTGAATAAATTATCCTCCTTTACTGAATAAATTATATATAATCAGATGCCATCTTTGGCTTCAAACTATGGAGCAAATAATAATAAATTATTTATAGAAACAAAAAATACAAAAGAGGATTTTAAAATAGATCGGTATATATATGCCCAACCTAGATAAAATCTTTACATCATAATTCATAAATAAGTGGAAATGAATAGAAACATATTTTCAAATTGATTCCACCACGGTAAATTAATTATACTTGTGATTTGTGAAGAATGAAAGTCTGAGAAAAGACTGATACGCAGCGTTTTATTCTTCAGAGTGGTAAATAAAAACGCAGTGTTTTATTAAGCTTGTCTTGTTAAGTTGTTTAGCTAAGAGAACTGGAAACTGCTCTGTTTTTGTAATTTCACTTACTCCATCTTCTTTTATAAAAACAGCAACCTCAGTTCACTTCAATAAGATTCGATAAGTTTTAACCAAACAAGTGTAACTTTGCAATTGAAAAGCAGAAAATTGAAAACAGAGAGGGAGAGTAGGAGCAGAGAAGATACACCTTCTTACTGCACTTTCCATTAATTACAAAGTAGAGTAGCTACTGTTTTACATATACAGATTTTCAGTGGACTTTTACACTCTAAACGACAGTGTTTGGACTCTTTATTATTTGAGCTAAAAATGACAATGCATTTGTCCAACATTGCCCCTCAAACTGGACTGCCTAAGCTATTTACATTGCACTGTCTGCATTGTGCTAAATTTGTCCAACATTGCCCCTCAAACTGGAATTCACCCCATTGTTCTAACTGAAGAGCTAACTACATTGAACCAAATGCCTGGGCTGCATTTTCTCCGCATTTTCTCACCACAGCATCAAATGACTGGGCTGCATTTTCTTACTAAAAGAAAGTTTCAAAACCTGAAACTTCAAATCTGCAGGGGCAGCAGAAACTGCAAAACAAGAACTTCAAATCTCACCACAGCATCAAATGACTGGGCTGCATTTTTCTTACTAAAGGAAAGTTTCAAAAACTGAAACTTCAAATCTGCAGGGGCAAAACAACTGCAGTAGCAGAACTGCAAAACAACTTCAGAACTGCATCAAGTTTGCAGTAGCAGAAACTGCAAAACAAGAACTTCAAAACTGCCCAAATCTGCAAGTAGCAGAACTGCAACTCCAGAACAACCAAAAAACTTCAGAACAATTACTCCACTCAAGACCAAATCTGCAAATAGTAGAAACTGCAAAACAAGAACTTCAAAACTGCACCAAATCTGCAAGTAGCAGAACTGCAACTCCAGAACAATCAAAACTTCAGAACAATTACTCCACTCAAGACCAAATCTGCAAATAGCAGAACTGCAACTCCAGAACAACCAAAACTTCAGAACAATTACTCCACTCAAGATCAAATCTGCAAATAGCAGAACTGCAACTAAAAAAAAAAATCCACCAACTAAAAAACATCATAACAAGGAAATTTTTTTTCTTAGCACTCAAGATCAAATCTGCAAATAGCAGAACGCAACTAAAACATCCACCAACTAAAAACATCATAACAAGGAAAAAAAATTTTCTCAGCACTTGCACAAGAGCAACTTCATAAGTTGCAACCCAGACCAGAAACTTCAAAGTGCACCAACAGTAAGGAATCAGACTTCCAGAAC